TCACTCAAAATGCATATCAGCATTTTTCTTCTTATCATCTATTTTCAATATACTTCCTTATTTCTTCGTTCAGATCTTATTTCTCTCTATTGATACGTTCACTTTTTTTCTGTTTCCAAGATCCTGAATATTGAATTATGGAATTTTTTCACACTTTCAATCAAACGCATTTGTATATTCAATATTGCACAAGGTGCGGTGGCTGATGAAATATCCGACAGCACTTTTACGTCATTCTAGATTAAGATGTATATGTACATAGAATTCTATAAATACACAATCAGAACAATGCCAGCTCAGTAGAAATCGAAACTTTGATATGTAGCGTGTTTGGAAATCTTCAGTGGAGTGTGTAAACAATAACACATCGATCAGAGAAGTATTGCTTCCTGTGTGGAAAATGAAACATATTTTATTAAAAACTGATTTGGTAGATTCCTACCAACTCTATGTCAGTGTCTTAAAACCAGGACCAACGTGTGTGTAGAGGAATATATTTACTAATAACAAACTGTAAATATCTCAGGCCGCCGGGACGTACTTTGCACAAAAATAATAATAATAAGCAGTGTTTGTCATCGCTTAACCCATTGCAATTTTTTTACAAACGAGGGCTGTTAATTCCAGAAATCCAAGTTTTATGCTTAAATTTACAATGTTAATGAAACAGTGAGATTATTAGGATACTTCAGGTAATAAAAATATATAGTTGTTCCCCAAAGCATTGACTTAAAATGACGTTGGTCAATTGGACATGAGGTGACTGGATTACTTTGGCTTGGCTGCAGTGTTTGTACAGTGAATAAAGTACAACACGACATCCATCGTTAGCCTGATGAGGGGAAACAATCCTTTCATTAAAATTACATGTTAACTTACATTAATTGTTAGTAAGTCACTCCTTAACAAGGTGTGGTGTTCTTTTCCATATTGAAAATATAAAGGATTTTACGTAAGAAACCCTCGAGACTAACCATCACTGAAAAGGGTATATCAGTTAGTGATGTTTGCGAACATCTGCGTAGCGTTAACGCAGAGAGATACCACTATAACACGGAATATGCCTGGACCAATGCGGCCATGATTCACCGTAACATCAGTTATTTTTCAAGTTCGGTTTAAACATAATGGTGCATTGGATCTTTCATAATATCATACATTCTTTCATTTAGTAAAGAATTCCGATAATTTCTGAGTTATCAAACATGGTTGGATTCAAGAAAGCAATTTTACATTTTTGGCATCAAATCCATTTACGTCTTAACGGAAAGTGAATAAGTACAGTTACAATATATGCCAGCCAGTGAGCTACACCACACACTGTCCCGGCCTTTTCAACGACTTGCCTGAGAGGCACTAATTCCATAACTCGGTAAAATATATTGGTTCTCCTTTCGCCGTCCATTACATGTACAAATATCGATTTTATAATGAAATTTGTTCATTAATAAAACCACCTGAAAGTTATTGTTAAACCTGAATCCTTATATTGTGTAGTTGTTTCTATAATGAAGATTTAGTATACTTTAAAAGGCTAAAAGGAACATTCTTTTTATGCGACAGACTTCTGAACGGCTATCATGTGATGTAAAAACGTCCTGTGAACTCAGGAGTCAAGCAGTAAACAGAAGACTTCCAAATACAAAATAATCACATCGTGATATTGTTTACAAATCAGAACACAAAACATATCATATTTATATTGTTTCAGTAACTCAAAAGAAACCCATTCTTTTCATATATGTTATGTTTCCGTGAACTATTCAATCCAACAAACCGCGACAGGATATTGAAACTGACGTATAGCTGTGACGCGGTGATAAATTAATGCGCGTTTCTTCGGTTCGCGCTTGCTACACTGGTTTTATCAAAGGATAAAGTTCCATAGCTGTGAGAAACCAAAAGGGGTTTATATTTTCAGTTCATAACAAACTGTAAATATAGAAAACGTGACAAATAAAATCGATGTATTTTTTGTAGAACAATTTTACTGGTTGTCTAGTGATATTTTCCATACATACCGAGTTTATTGACGTACATATTCATTTTATTGATATTGTCGAATATTCTCAAAAATTCAGGCACGAATCTTCCATTCACTTATTCCATGATAGGTTCAAACTTAACCGCAATATCTGTCTCTAGAGAGCAAAACTTCACATGCCATCGCCATCATTCCCTACACGAAAGGCAAGACGCGTTATCGATTCTCGACATTCGTGTATTTCCTTTATTAGATAAACTCTGCAGGTCGTATTTTACAAGACAGCGCCATCAAACGTACGATTCACGTGTAACTGAATTCACCAATCGTATTTATTTCTACATGCGGGCTTCCGTTCGTTGTCAGATAGAGTTTGTGTAACCCTACTGGTAGTGTAGGAACAGGCTGACAAAGTATTTGCTATATAAATTAACATGGTATCCTATTGCAGATTTACCATAAAAGTATTTCTGTGACTTTTTCGCTGACAGACTAATTCATGTTTGATCTGATAAGTCACTACCTATGGGTAACGTATTTTTCCTCTTAATGTAATGGAAACGATAGGAATATCAATCATAGAATTGCGCTGGAATTCTTTATTGTATCCGAAATTCACTACATTGAATCATTAAATTCAACAAGACGTTTATCGGTTACGTATTATGTTGCGGAAGAGATTTTCACGCTCTTAACAATCACACTAACACTTGAAAAGGGCAGATGAAAAAAAAAACATGTAGATACACAAATTACGTTTCAGCATCAACAGAAATCATCGACATATCTTAAGTAATCCTGTTGGTACGATCCAATACAAAACGGAAACTTCAGTTGAGCTTCCAATCATTATTAGATTTATTGCTAGTATACGGTTTTCATAAACGGGGAATCGGTTCGAAACTACGACCGATATACAGCATCGGAAACAATCGTAGGATACAAATGAAAAGAGGATTTCAGACTGGTATAAACATGGAGAGGAGACGACCAGAACGAGGCCACAGGGAAGGTAATCGAAAGTTGTGTACAAACGAATGAATCAGAACGAGGCCATAACACTAGGAATCCAGAACGAGGTAGACATATAGAGGGATTTCTGTGAATACCTCGGTGACAGTTTGGATGTTATTAGCACGATATTATGATATAGGACAAACGTCAAGAAACCAGAACGAATCTGTGATAAGAATGAGGCCACCAGATTTAGGTCGTCATAAATAGCGGAAAATAATCGGGAAACACGTTACCGGTAATGATGACGATATCATTACCGTAATTTGTAATATATTCGATGCCTAAACACTGAAAACGAGGCTATTGAGTGGGGAGTCGGGTTCGGATATAGTTAGCTAGAAATCATCGCTATAGCTTCATTAATCTTGGCAGAAGAATCAGAATAAATGGACTTTCCCGTTAAGCCCGTATTTCTACACGATTACTCGTTCATATTGGGCTTCACAAAAAAAGGCACCAGTACACTTGTCCGGTTGATAAACAATATCATTAACGGTTGAATTACAATTCATGAGAAGGAAAGAGGTGGTGATAAAAGCAATAAATCAGTTCGGAGTCGTGGTATAGAGAACGGTATCAAACTGGGATCACCATATACAGAGGGAATCAGTTCGGAGTCGTGGTATAGAGAACGGTATCATACTGGGATCGCCATAAACAGAGGGAATCAGTTCGGAATCGTGGTATAGAGAACGGTATCATACTGGGATCACTATATACTGAGGGAATCAGTTCGGAATCGTGGTATAGAGAACGGTATCATACTGGGATCACCATATACAGAGGGAATCAGTTCGGAGTCGATAAAAATAAAAATAAAAAAGACAAAAAAATTATTTTGACACTGCAAGGAGAAAGTAACCAGAGCGAGGTTGTCATATAAAGGGAAAGGAGAACAAGGTCGTGATATAGGGATCAGGAACGGAGTCGTGAAATAACGGAGGGAACCATATTGAGGTAGTGATATAAAACAAGTAAAGTGAACCAAGACGAGGTGATTGTATAAAGAAGGGAACCAGAAAGAAGTGGCTGTGTATTGAATAAGGAAAATAAACCAGAACGAGGTTGTGTATAGGAACGAGAACGAGAACAATACAGAGGACAATCAGAAGAGGTCAACAATAGGACGACACTTAAAGACATAATTCTAATTCGGAAGTAGGAGGAGGGTCTGACGACACTTGAAGAGCAGAATTTTATGCAAACCTTGGCTAAGAAATGCTCGGCATCTGAATGATCTAATGATGAAAACTAAGGAGGAGATGATTATACTGGAAAATTTAACCTCATTAATGTCGTATCTTTGATGGATCTCCCTGCATCTTTTCACTCGTTAAAGAGATTTTGCACCTCATGTACAGTTTTATTGACACGAGGCTAGATTCGTTTTTATGCTCTCCAGATGGACTACTTATTTATAAAACTTTCTACAATGCAGAATGTGACAATATAAATCAGATTTCCAGAAATATCTAAACTTGAGATAGGTATTGATTTTTCATTCCATTCAAACTTATCTCGTACTGTGTATTTACTGTCTCATTTTATAGGCACTGATTACCACTGAAATGATAATGTAGTATGCTTAAGATAAAAGCATTAAACTGAGAGGGTACTACCTCTGAAACTGTTATTGGTCTTTATACAAAAATTGAAAACAGGGGACATGTTAATATGTTTAAGAAAAAACAAAATGGAAAATAAAAACGCTTAAGTTACCGACAGCAACGACAGATTCAATATTCATCTACGTTAGGATTGTATTGATCACAGTTTTTAACGTAGAAATCTGAAAATAAAATCTTCACTAGCATTTACTGTTCTATATCGAGTGATTTACATAACTATGGTTTGGTGTTCTAGAGTATGATGTACCTGGAAGAAAGAAATATAAGTAATATATATACACTGTAGTGCTATTTCATACCGAATTTGGCAGCACCGACTCAATAATCACAAATTATAAAAGAGTTTGATATTTCTTTTTTAAAAAGGATATCCCCATTCGATGATAATCTTTGCATACTTGCGGATGAAATTTTCCTCACTGAAGATGAAAAGTGACCGCGTGGTGCTGCCACTTGCTCCCGGAAGACTAAGATTCGCTGCCTTTTTGGCACAGTGACGTAACGAACCGTCATAAGGGCCATTGTAATCGTCGTCCTGGTTACCGTTCACCTGAAAGTTCGCCATTCTGGAAAAAAATTAAGAGAAACTTTAAATCAAACTAATGGGAAAAGAACATTTTACTGTGGAATTGATGCAAGCATTAAAATCCATTAGCTGTAAACAAAAAGATGATTACAAGCATTTTCCTATACATGGAAATAACAAAGTAGATTTAAACGTGTTTAATTTCAGTTTCAACGGTTTAAAGTCACACCTGGTAAAATGTCTTCTTTATTCAAGATCGATATTCTACTGAACCATACATCGTAATAGATGGTAAAATTCAGAAATAAAAGGCTTCCAAAACCGGGCACTGATTTCTCATTTTTCTTCATTGTTGTGAACGTGAGACATTCACGTCGACTTTTCAAGACATTCCATTCTGATCTCGAAGTCTAGTGGTACCATCCTCCCATTGAAAATATCCAATACAAGGTGGTTTCAAATCTCCCGTGTAATTTGTTAATTAATTCCTTTCGTATAATGGCCCAAATGGCGACGAACGGTACATTAAAACTGTTTAGAACTCAACAAAGACTTGGTGTTATCGCCTGCTGACATCGAATCGATAGTGACATATGACCTATCTCAAAGTCCTCGGAGATGTCGCTTATTTCGGACATGCAACAAACATGGCGACAAGGAATCTGTGCACGAGATCTCGTGGGAAACGAGAACACGTTTAATGAATATAACCTCTATACGTAAATAGGTATTGTCCTGTTATACAACTCAACGGTGCAAAAATATCATTCAGAAAGACTATGTAATATTGACAGCGACGATACATTAAAATACACTGTACCAATAGTTCCTTCATTTAATCGTGTAATTGTTCGTTAATTCTATCAACTTTTCCATAACAAACGAGCCAGATGTTGATATATATAACCGATCTACACACAGGTGTTATGCTATTGGTCTGAAGATGTTCATGTCTGTAGGTACACTCAGACCAGCTGTTGAGCTCGTGTTATTTTATCTTAGATTAAGAGTGCTCTCATTTTGTGAAACCGTATAATTGTTTACTTTTGCGAGTAGGTATCTTTGCGTTATTTTGCGATACACAGACGACCTCAAAAATCACATCAACAGCAAAAATTGGTGTATAACACAAGCAAACCTTGCAGGGAAAATGCAGTTGATTTCAGAAATACTGTACATTTTTCGAAAAGAACTTTTAAATACGAACACAAAACCTTATGACATTTCCCTATATCTATTCTGGTAACTGTTCATTCATTCATTCATTCATTCATTCATTCAGTTTTAAATTTCATCGTTCCCACACAAACACTGCGACTATTTATAGTAGCTGTGACTCTATCTCCCTTTGTTTCTATTGTATATGTAAGGTCCATGCGAAACCCGTATCGACCTTGTTCTGCTGTGTCTGCAGAGAAAACCGCTGATGTGGCCGTTTTGTAAGATGGCAGTAATTTTGACGGATCTGGAACCAAAACATGTTTTTTTATATAGATGTATCAAACCATGACACCTACTTCAAAACAATTTTTCCCAACAATGCATTTTTTGAAGACTATTTTTTGCACTCACAGAGAAATGTATAAAAACACTTATGGTTTGCTGACAACGGAACAATTTTTGCTCTATCGCCTTTTCACTGTATCCGCGTTATAGCTTCACCATTATATTTCTGATTATGTACACTATGACAAAATTAAATCTGATATCTATGAAATAAAACTATTATGTACATACGTTCTCTATATGACCAATTCCAGATTCATACAGGAGAGAAAATTAACCATCGATCAAGTAACACGTACTTGATTATCGGAAAACAATCAACATAGGTTCACAACATATTTACATTTTGTTTCTGTTGAAGTTGAATAACTTTCTATATTCAATAGGGATGAACATAATTGTACAGGAAATCAGGAGAAAGTAAATAAGAAAAGGAAACATAAACATGTATATGAAATGATTACATTTCACTTTTTGATTGATTGAAGAATGAATGATATTCATATAACTTCCTGAACGGTGTAAAACAAAACAAGAAAACAAAAACAAACAAACAAGTCTTAATTTGATTTCAAATTAATAACACTTGTAAACATCATATTTGCCGATATATCATAACACAGTTTTTAACCGAGAACGACTCCAAACAATTAAATGTGTAGCTTTAATAAAATATCTACATCTGTTCAATTGATACAGCTTGCGACGAGATATGTGGTTCATAGTGACAAGTAAAACCGATACACATATCAGGATAACAGTTTTTCCTTGATAGAATATAGCAAGTGTTTGTCACCTTTTTGTTCATATAATACCGAGAATCATTGATTATTTGCCTCAACCAGGGAGTGATTATCAATGCTGCAGCCCTTTGTTGGTTTACCGATGAACTTTAGCCACATGGCGCCCTAATGAGAGTTAGTGTATTGGCACGCATAAACACCCAGGGATAATAAAGGCGTTAGATAAAAAAACAACCTAAAAAAAGCTTTGTGAGCACAGTCTCCATGGCTATGAGAGATATAAGGATTTGTTTACATTCGTGCAATTTGGCTTTCAAAATGGCTGATTCTTATTTACAATGAAGTACCCAAAGGCAAAATTGTCGATAATTATGTAACCGTATTAGGTGAATATCTATTTCTTAATATTTGACAAATAAATCTGTGAAAAAATACGGAAACATTATATTGATTTGCGTACGTAATCTTGGTGTTTATCTTTTTTACCGGCAATAATTGCAAATGTAAATACTCGCTAGTTGTTTGAAATGTTCTAATCAAAATAGAACACGCTTTGATTGGTTGAAGTGATCGATATACCACCCTAGTAATCAAACCCAACATCGTTCCCATACCCACGGCACTTCTGACACTGCAGAGTGTCAGGGAACGGTGCTCAAGCGATGAAAACAACGTGATTGGTTTACACGTAATGAACTATTGAAACGTACATTGTGGTCGGATTATTCAGGTTAACGGAAAACTTTTGACAATGGCTATGCTTAGGCAGCGATTTTCCACAAAAATTTCAAAACATATTTTGTTCGATTGAACTTGTCTGAACCTTTTTTAGAACACGCATGCTTTTATATTTGTTTCATAAAAAAACATTTAAGGATTCGTAAAAAGGGAGGGGAGGACGGAGAAGAAAGCAGAGAGGGGAGGACGGAGAAGAAGCCAGAGAGGGGAGCACGGAGAAGAAAGCAGAGAGGGGAGGACGGAGAAGAAGGCAGAGAGGGGAGGACGGAGAAGAAGCCAGAGAGGGGAGCAAGGAGAAGAAAGCAGAGAGGGGAGGACGGAGAAGAAGGCAGAGAGGGGAGGACGGAGAAGAAGGCAGAGAGGGGAGGACGGAGAAGAAAGCAGAGAGGGGAGGACGGAGAAGAAGGCAGAGAGGGGAGCACGGAGAAGAAAGCAGAGAGGGGAGGACGGAGAAGAAGGCAGAGAGGGGAGCACGGAGAAGAAGGCAGAGAGGGGAGCACGGAGAAGAAAGCAGAGAGGGGAGCACGGAGAAGAAGGCAGGGAATGGAAGGCAGTGAATAAAGCAGGGATGGGAGGACGGAGAACAAGGCAGGGAGGGGAGGACGGAGAAGAAGGCAGGGAGTTGGGGGGTGGGGGAGGGGCGGAGAAGAAGGCAGGGTGGGGATGACGAAGAAGAAGGCAGGAAGGGAAGACGGAGAAGAAGGCAGGGAAGGGAGGACGGTGAAGAAAGCAGGGAGGGGAGGACGGAGAAGAAGGCAGAGGAATGGTGGACAGAGAAGAAGTCAGGGAGTGGAGGAGGGGATGATACACAAGGAGTATCTAATTAGACCACAACCAAAATAATTTACGCTAAAAGTTATCGATGGTTAAATGAAGGTAAGGATAATAAAGGGAATTATTTGCGTAGAATTCCATTCGCTTAAAAACATTTCATGCAAAACGGTTAAATCAAACAACATAAATAATTTGAAAAATGCATTTTACATTTCATTTTGATTGTCAATGTTTCTGCAAGACTCAACAACATGCCCCCTCCTCTCCCACCCCCAACAAGATATAGGGTATGGTGTTTTGGCAGCTGATGGTTTGCAAGCAACTGCTTGTGTTTGTACTGTGCGAAGTATATGGCAGAGCCGGTGTCTATTTCAGTCTTCCCTTATCTCTATTCCTTGCTAAAAATCAATAAGATCAATGACATTACACACACACACATCACACATCACGCACGTGGTACATAATATCATATCAGTCACGTTTTGTATCGTATCCTTAAAAGGAAAAAATGCTCAACAGGTTCAATCGATCAGAAGTCACAAAAATAGATCGTAATGTGTACGCTTCATACATATCTCAGATAATACATACCAGAAATAAAACAGAAACAACAGTCCGTACAAACATTACCACCAGCTAGTAGCTGAAACAGATTGTGTTCTGCACTTTACCCATATTTTAATCACAAAGTGAAAATGTTTTATGCTTCTTCGGTGGTTTGTGAGGAAACTCTGCTGCACTATGCTTCGCCCTCGAGCATGTGAATTTGTGAAATGACATTTTAACGGAAAGCTCAAAGACGGCCAAAAGGGATTTCAGTTTAGGACATTATAATTTGCAAACAGCAGTACGCCTCTCGACACTAACCTGTTGTTTATTGATTAAAATGGATTTACAATTTTTCAAATGCTGTGTTTAACAAGTTCTTCTCTAGATCGTACTCATCACATTTCGGCTGATTCTGTAACTACTTCGATATGAAAAGTGCGGAATCAGTCGAGGTCAGCCGCAGATGTCTTTATTGATTACAGTGAGCTGAGGGTTTTTGTTGAGGGTTCGAGTTCTATCTGCCTGTCCAATGTGCGCCCCCTGTCGGTGCTGTTTTTAGTTACAGGTCGGCACTTAAAGTTGCACCTCTCCAAGATATTTTAGAGCCAAGTGGAAACGTCCTTATTTCGGCCAGTCAATGAAATAGCGTTGTCCATCTACATCCATTTAGCGTCGTTTTGTAAAACCTTTTTTTATCCGCAGATATTTGTGAATGAATCAAGATCCTGATAAATGATTGTTTTCGTCCTGCTATGTAGATAAAGCATTTCATAGTCTTTGAACACACGTGTGAGTTATACAACATGTCTTGGCGGTGGAAGACGACTGCCATTTTAAAACACGGCATGAAGTAACATTTGTTATTTAATGGTTTTCATATTCGGAAATCTTGATGGTAAAATAAAATCGTAGATAATATATCGAACGCTATTTCACGACAAGACCTTATATAACTTTATCATTATTAACATCATATTATGATAGTTATTTAGGTCACGATGACATGTCAAACGTTCACACTAACCATGACGAAGATCATTTATCATCAAACCCTTCACGCCTAGAACATGATATATACATGTAGCTAGACATAAAAATGACCAAAGAAAACAAGACAAATCAAATTTATTTTCTTTCAAACTGCAATGAAGATATCCATTTCTGCCTTGGAAAATGTCATAGAATATAAAGAGAAAGAACAAACTATGACATATCTGTTGTAATATACTTTCTTCTTAAACTTTATTTCATTTTTTTTTATAAATATATATATAAGTATTCTTTAATCTATCCTATCATCTTACTTGCCATTTTCACAACATTTATGAAATAAATAAAGAAAAGATCAATGTATGTTCCAGACCTAAAGCTAATAGTTCTGAAGAAGAGAAATACTTGTCGGTGATAAAAAAAAAAAATTGCAATGGAATGCCATTGAGTCTAAAATGAAATATGTGTTCTTTTTGTAATTAAATTCAATGGTTCGGAAACACTGGTGACATTTCACAGTTCGATTAAGACGTGCAAAACGTTGCAATATTCTTACAACTCCCAACATTTGTTTGAATTGTTGTGTTTTATATTCAATATCTTTTGATTGATGGTGTGATTCATATTCTATATCTAGTGTTTTGTATTGTAAAATACTTGTTTTATATTGTACCATCTTGTGTCGGATGTTCTAATCATCCTTGGGTCAAACTTTATTGAAAATATATCACAAGATTATCAACACATCAACATCCTCGGAGATAAACAACGAAATGGACTAGTGTCTATTATTTAATTAATAGTAAACAGTACATTATTTTCTTATCTAGTCGTTTTATCATCCCAGGAAATAGCAATAAAATGCCCCCCCCCCCCTTGAAATTGCTATCCCCTATAGAAAGTAAAGATACTTAAACGTACTTAATTTTTCACGACTCAATTTTTACGTAGTAGTTTATCTTGACAATGACAATCCACGCTATAATTTTTTTTTTCAGCGCTTAAAGCGACAAGATAGCGGTTACAGTATATATCAGTGAAGCGTTACGATTCGTTGTAAAGTTTTACGTGGCTATATGCTGCATGCCGTCCCCAACTCCAGCATATCCTTATCAATACTCTTATATGCATGCAATATGTGCCACATAACAATACTCAGTGGACCTCTGAGGATATCCACTCATCAATAATTTACATACCGAGGAATGACTCGTGTTGAGTGATAGCTGTTGGCTAACAGCGGCTCTCTCACAGCACACTACAATACACAGTTGTATGGGTTTCGTATCAAACCAATTAACATATCAGAATACCGTTTTCAGCAAACTCATATTGAAAATGGCTGCTTCCCTGCTAGAATAACACCAAACTATAAATGGAATGTGTACCAATCCTGTTTAATAATAAGACAACTTTTCTAGATAATCATACATATGCGTTATACATTTGTTTTGGTTGATATTTGGTTTGTTATATGTATAATTACTGAATAATGAACAAGACTGTATTCCGAGCACTTTTTTGTTTGAAACGGGCATGGTACAGACACAAACTCGTGCTTTGTTTATTCAAGATACCGAAATTCCTAAAGATATTCCCATGGGTAATACATGGCCAGCTATAAAAAGGTAGACGTTACAATTACATCACAGCAGTCCAATTTTAAAAAAATAGGATGAAAGGGTTTGGTCAAAGAAAATGGAAAATGTTGGGGAAAAATAACAGATTTTTAAACACAAATTCCAGGGCAAAAATCTTTGAGTTTGAGCCCGAAAATCCCGTCTCAGAATTACATACACCCTTATAAATAATATTTGGTGAACATATATATCTTCGATATGATATTGATATGCCCCTTGTTATATTTAGTCTTTAACATATCGGATAATGTTCATATATGTAATAAATAAAGTGTTTTCAGACCCGAGTATAAAATAGGGGATTGAGTGCACGTGTGATGTATCATCTTTGTATATTGTGCAATATACAATATATATATATATGTATATTAGGGTGTGTACAAAGTAAAGAGAAACAGAGCGTGTGATAATCTATATACCAGCTATCATATATATTGAGTCATTTCTTCCATGAATCATAAAAGTATGTACAATAAGGTACAAAAATCGATATTCTTTCCAGTAATTTCTACTGGGTATATCTGAACTCGCCGCTCCCGAAATACCCAGTGTGACCATATTACATGTATAATGTGTGGCCGTAACTGACCAGACTGAGTGACACGAGTCAGACCTTGGAACGAATGAGTTCCAAACAGCGGAAGGACATTAATCAAAAGCGGTGGAGTGGCTGTGCGCGTATTGATCTGTATTTTATGCGACACCATTGTGGATGATGTATAATTTAGAATGATTTCGTCCTGAGCGTGACTTGCAATGTTTCCCGTCTTGTAGTATAGGAACTGCATGGTTTTCAATAACGGGATCAACCCAGTGTAGACCATATTTACCCATTATCTCATTTGTACTGTTCCCAGTACACTGTGTATTGACTTTCCACAACGATACAAAAGTCCATAGGACGAAAACCACACAATGTTCGCGACTGTTTCCACAGTACATATTAGGCTTCTTTCCATGTGTCTTGGGTAGGAAAACCAGTCATCATATGTAGTTAATAAATACCCCCCTCCACTCCCCACAGGACACAAACCACTCCCCACAGGACACAAACCACTTTTTTCACTGTGAATTGCCTTTCCCCATTGTTTCCAGTCCCTCGTGCCAACGAAAAAGGGGAAAAAACCTAAATACATATATCAGAAAGAATTCATTCCATATCGTGGAGGTCGTAATTTCATACAAAAAAAAATCAGTGAAACATGACGTATACGGAAAACATCCAAATTTAAGGATTGTTTTAAGGTTTCTGCGCATGATTCGTTTGCTACTTATTTGCATAATGCTTCTCTTAGAATGAAACATCTACAAGAGAGTAATGACTCTTCTCGGGGATGTATGCATTATTTACAAATATCGGTCAACATCATGGCAGTTAGCGTGCATCGCGAGGAACCGGATACTGTAATCACCCCACCGGAAGTTCTGATTGTAGCAAAAACTGTTCAACGCACGGTCAACTTGAACAATAGTCGAACATTTCGCATTTGCGTTACATTCTACCAGTGATCTGCGGAATTGGTGAGCCAAAATACTAAAGCACAATTTGAAGAGAGTGATAACAACAAGCTTCAAATCAAAATAGAAATCGTTGAAGTGCTTAGCAAAAAATGGCGTACAGGCTGTGAAACGACAGGACTGTGTGGAACTATGGTTGGATTGCGGTGTTAAATCTCGTTTATTGGTTTCTTTCTACACCTTTTGCCGATATTAC